GCGGAAGGCAGTGGATGGGGCGCCCCGCGAGCCAGCCTGGCGCGGGGAGCTGCAGGTCAGCGCACGGCGGCGCAGGGCGCGGCCACCTCCGGGTCCCGGGGCGCCTCCCGCCCGTGGGTAGGTCCCTGTGGGCGTTTCCGTTTTCGCCACTCAGGTGCACAACCAGGTGTGCTAGACAAACAGGTGCATTGCCAAATGCGGGCGCGCAAAGGCCGGTGCACGGCCAAGGCGCGTTTTCACTCTCTGTGCGGAGGAAACGGAGGCTCAGGAGGGAAAGGACATGCCGAGGTCGCAGAACTGAGTCGCACTAAACCAGGCCTGGAACCCGGCCAGGCTTTTCCTCCGTGGGCACTGCTCCACCCTCGCTGACCGGCAGAGTCAGGACTGGCCCTTCCGGCCACCTGCACCAGCCCGCTCACCCCTGCTGGGTCCCATCGCCACCATAGCTCCTCAGTGTTAGTGTTCTTCCTCTGAACAGAGCCTGCCATCTCCCTCCCTCCCGCTCCTCCGCTGGTCTTATTTACCAGGCTTCTCCACTTGGATTTCCCCGCCTTCTCTGCGCGCAGCTGGCCCCATTGCAGAGACGAAGGGGCTCCATGTGCTGGTTCTCCAGTGCGACCTGCATCATCTCGCACTGCAGACCTCCCTGTCTGACATGAGGTGTCTGACATGAGGTGCCTTCCCCTCCCCCAGGGGCAGGGTAGATCTCAAGGGTAGACCTGGTTGGTGTCGCTCTGGATAACTGCCACCTCCCAGTCCTTGCCCTTGGTCCCAGCCCATCCAGCACCGGACCCGTGGCCTTGTAAGGCGGGGGTGGGCTCCCTACCCTCCAGAAGGCTGGGCCATCACCACCATCCCGGCTGCAAGGCTGTTTGCCCTCCAGTGCTTGGCTCTTGAGGCAAGTCTGTCCCTTTTCACCCAGGCCGGGCTCCTGAGACACTGTTGCTTCAACTTTTTTTTTGCTTCAACTTTTTGAAAAATAGAGCAGCATCTTCAAAAGCAGAAATAGAGCCCATTAGTAAACTTGGAAAAAATATTTGACTTGAACAATAAAAAAAGTAAATTAAAACAATATTCTGTTGCTATTTTTCACCTGTAATTTTAATTTAATAATTTTTTTGTTAATCCTCATCTAGGAATAGTTTTTCATTGATTTTTTTAAGAAAGAGTGGAAGGGAAAGAAGGATGGAAGGAGGGAAGAGAGAGAGAAACATCGATGTGAAAGAGACATATCAATTGGTTGACTCCTGCACGCACCCCGACCAGGTCCAGGGATCAAACCTGCAACCCAGGTATGTGCCCTTGGCTGGGACCTGCAACCCTTTGGTGCGTGGACTGACACTCTAACCATTGAGACACACCAGCCAGGGCTAAAGTTTAATACTTTTCTGGTTATCATGAGATGAAATGTGGGCTCTCACCTTCTTGGAAGAAGAAGGAATGGATTTCAGAGTGTTTGGCTTTTTAAAATTATTTGATTGTGGTAATATATCCTTAACATAAAATTTACCATTTTAGCCATTTTTAAGTGTACAGTCAGTAGCATTAAGTATATTCACATGGTTGTGCAACCATCACCACCACCCATTTCTAGAATGTTTTCATCTTCTCAAACTGTAACTCTGTGCCCATTAAACAATAATTCCCACTCCCCCTTTCTCTAGTCCCTGGTAACCACCACTCTATCGCTGTCTCATATGAGTGGGATCTATATATACTAGTATATAAAAGCCTAATATGCAAGTGTCCCCTTGGGAGTTCAACCGACCAGGACAGTGGTGGGCAAACTCATTAGTCAACAGAGCCAAATATCAACAGTACAACGATGGAAATTTCTTTTGAGAGCCAAATATTTTAAACTTAAACTATATAGGTAGGTACATTGTTATTCACTTAATTAGGGTACTCCTAAGGCTTAGGAAGAGCCACACTCAAGGGGCCAAAGAGCCGCATGTGGTTCGCGAGCCGCAGTTTGCCAACCACGGGACCAGGAGTATGATTGCTCGCTGTGATGTGTGCTGACCACCAGGGTGCAGTGCAGAACAAAGGAAGGCCCTGGCCAGCAGCCAGCAGCTGCAAGGGACCCTACCTGTGCACGAATTTTGTGCACTGGGTGTCCAGTAATATAACATTTGCCCTTTTGTGTCTGCCTTATTTCACTTAGAATAATGTCATTGCTCTTCTATCTTGTAGAATACTTCAGAATTTCCTTCTTTTTAAGGCTGAATATTTCATTGTATGTACATGACCCAGTTTGTTTATCCATTCACCCCAAGAGAGTGGCTTCTTTCTCTTGACTATTGGGAACAATGCATGTACAAATATCTATTTAAGACCTGCTTTCAATCCTTTTGGGTATATACCTAGAAGTGGAATTGCTTGGTCATATAGTAGTAATTGTAAGTTTAATTGTTTGAAGAACTGCTATACTATTTTCCATGGAGCTGCACCATTTTACATTCCCACCAACAATGCACAAATGTTCTTATTTTTCTACATCCTCACCAATACTTGTTGCTTTTCCTGTTTTTGTCTGTTTGCTTTTCATCCTGGCCTTTGATCTGACTCTGAGAAGATGAGCAGGAGCTGAATGGGGAGGTGTATTTCAGCATTAGGAAAGGCATGTGGCAGGCCAGAGGCTTGCAGTGCAGGTTTGCCTAGGGACAGAGCAGCCTCCTATGGCTGACGCTTACGGAGCATGGGGAGGCGATGGCAAGGGATGAGGACTGAAGGCAGTGCCAGAGCCCCATCACAGAAGCCTGAATCTTGGCCAAGAAGCTTGACTTGACTCCGTTGACATAACAGATGGTTCCAGAATCTGGATGAGTTAGAAACTCTTGCAGCCAGGGAACTCTCAAACCTAGTTGTGAGTTCCATATCCACTGTGTGATCCTACACCTCACTAGGTGTGACCAGGGCAAATTACTCTCCCTGTCTGAGCCTTAGTGTCCTCTGCTGTGTAATGGGGGTAGGAGGGGGGTTGCAGCAGCGCCTACAATAGAGAAAGAGTGAGTTACTGCGGTGGGGAGGCTGTGGGCTAACTGTAGTCCTTGCTGTACAGCTGACTCACCCTGGCCTGCTCTGGTGTGTCTGGCAGCCACGACTCCCATCACAGTGGACCTTGGCTTATAGCCTGTGGTCACTCCTCCATGAGTCCTACAGCCAAGAGGCTCAGGCAGGGACAGAAGCAGCCCAGGCAGGTCTGGGACACCCTGAGAGTAATCACCTTGCACAGGGACTCCCCTTGCACAGGACTTGGTAGTGTACACAGCCACCCCTCACTGACACCCCAAAACAGCTCCTCCAGGAGGCTACAGTCATATGCCTGCAGGAAACGGAGACTTGGCCAGGGTAACTTGCCCAAGGCCACCAGCTGGGAAGCAGCAGGGCCAGGATTCAAACTCGAGTCTCTTTGAGGATTTATGCACTCTTGGGAAGTTGGGCTAGATTCATTTATTTGTTCATTTGTCGCTCAGCAAAGATTTACTGAGCATTTACTATGTTCCAGGTACTGCCCAGGTGTGACACAGTCTCTGCCCTGGACCTTCTGAAGGTCCCCTTCCGAGGGCAGTATTGACCTCTTACCAAGCTTCTGCTGCATGCCAGGAACATACCTAAATTAGCCCAAGTACAGAGACTATTCGCTTTATTTACAGGTAAGAAAGCTGAGAATCGGAGAAGGAGGTGGCTTGCCCAGGTAGCACAGTCCGGAAGGGGCAGCGTCTGTGCTTCAGCTCCTCAGTGCAGGGTGGACACTGCCAGCCATGGCCTGGTGCCCGCCTGATCTGCTGCGTGAGTGGCACGGCTGTGCTGGGCATCCAACTTTCCTATTGAAATGCTATGTTGGGATGTCAGAAGGGCATTGGGTGGGGCCAGAAAGGAGACCACTGTCCCAGTTGTCCAGTTCCCGGAGGGGCTAGATGCAGGGAAAGTCCTATTTCTGACTTAAGTCCTGTCACCATAAATGACTCCTTAATGTAGGAGGGGGTGTCGTTCTCTGCTGTGCCAGATAAAGGAGGAGGAGGGAAGAGAACTGACTCGTTGGGAGCATATACTCTAAACTCCTTTCTTTACCTAGTAGGTCATACACATACTTCAATGAGGAGTTTGGAATTCTCCTCCTCCAGGAAGCCTTCCCTGATCTGCCCATCCACTGGCTGGGTCAGAGGCCTTCCTCTCTCAGGGGCCTGGCCACACTTTGTGGTCATCATTTCCCCTGCTAGCCTCTCAGGGCTGGGACCTCATGTGAGTCCCATGTGCCCTGCACAGCCTCTGCAGAGTGCGTGTGTGTGTGGGGGGGGGGGCGCGAGAAGGGGGGCTGGGAATGTCAGAAGGACGATGAGTCCTGAAGCCATCCTTCCTCCCTCTCTGCAGCCTTACTCATGCCCTCCCTGCTGGCTCTCCTTCTCTCCCCAGAGGGCAGAAAGAACCAGGTGCCCTCTTTGCCCCAGTTGAGCCGACCGTGGGTTCCAGGGTTCCCATGGGCAGAAGGGGAACACTCAGAGGCATTCCCTGATCTGTGCTCTACCTGACCCGTGGCTGAGCCGGGGGACAGAGAAAGAAATCAGAAACGGTTCCTCAACAAGTAACTCTAAAACCCGCCCACGGCATCCATATGAGCCACCAGGAGGGGCCGTTACACCTGCGGGGCCCGGGGAAGGCTCTCTGGCGAGGCAGCGCGTGGAAATGTGCACAGCGCAATGAGCACGTCGGGGGACAGCGCGGGCGGGCCGGTGGGGCGCCACGTGGGCACAGACGCGCCAGGATTCTCTGGCGAATCACAAATCTCAGGCCGGGTTGCTGTGGCAGCAGCGGAGGCCAGCGGACCGGACCGGGACCAGCGACCGGACCAGGACCAGGGACCTGCGCGGAGGAGTCCAGGTGCGGGGGGAGGCCCATCCCTCCCAGGACCTCGCCGCTGGGGCCGGCAGGCCGGCAGGGCAGCCCGTGAAGTGGTTCCGGGAGGCGCTTGCCTTTCTCGGGGTGAAGAGCCACAGGTGGGGCTGGGCTGGAAGCTGGAAGGAGGAAGGGCCACCAATGCAGGGCTGCGAACCTGGGGGAGGAGCGGTAGAAGGGGGGCTGGCAGTGCGGGTGGGAGGCTGGGCTCCCCTCCCCCCATACCTGCCGCACTTCACTGTCCAGAGTCTGTTGACCACTGTGATTAAGTTATTTAAAACCATTTCAAAAGCTTCTACAAGGTGCCAGGCTCCATAGCAGGTCGCTCAGCCTAAACGTGGTGGGTGGGGTTTCAGTCCAGGGGTCTTTCTTCATTCATACATACATGATATTGAGGTACACATACCGCCTCCTCAATATGTTGTTGCATCTGGGGATACAGCCGTGAACAAAACAGCAAAACCTTGTACTCAGGGTTGGCATTCTTGTGGGGCGGGGTGGTTGGAGTGGATAGTAAACCAAAAAGAACAATATATAAGATGCTGGGTAGTGATGAGGGTTATGGAGAAAAAGAAAGCTGGGAGGAGGAGGAGGTGAGTGCTGGAGGGTGGGGCGGGGGTTGCACAGAGAAAATGACTTTTGAGTCAAGGCTCCCAGAGGCGGGAAGGGGACCAGGCAAGAGTGGGAAGGGGACCAGGAAGGACGAAGGCCCTGAGGTGGGAGCAGCGCTGTCACCCTTCACGGGCTAGCTCCAAAGTCACCTTCCCTACCCCTAACCTGCTGGTGCTAGGGCTGGGGGCCAGGCGTGGGGCTCTCCCACGGCCTCTGTCCTTCCCAGGTTTGATGTCTCTGCTGTTTATCCTGAGCAGAAGCTGAGAGAAGCTTCGTTCCATGAGCTATGTGAGTCTGCCAGCTTTGCTGACCCTCCCACGCGGGCTGGCCTCTGCCCTCTGAGTCCCCTACTGTGGTGGCTGAGCCGAGCCATCTAGGGATATGTTTTATACCTCTCCGCGCCCTTAGTCCTCACACAGAGCTTGGCTAGAGCCAGGGCAGGACTGTTGTGGAAACAGCATGGGTTGGGGCCACAGAGACCTGGGTTCCAGCCCCACCTCTTTGCACTGGCTGGCTGTAGGCTCTTGCATGAGTTACTGCTCCTCCCTGAAGTGTGAGGAGGCCAATGACAGAGGAATTCATGTTGGTACCTTGAGTACCACGCCCCTCAGTGCCAGGCTAGGTGCGGGGGGTGGGGCAGAGAGGGGCAGGTCACGCCCGGGTCAGAGTGCAACTTCCTGAGGACTTGCTGTGGGTGGACTGGGTGTGTTGGCTGTCCCAGCTCTGACTGTGCTCTGACTCAGTCCCACTTAGGATCTGGGACCTATGGCTGCAAGGAGACCTGCTTCAGCAAGAAAAAGGTCAAGAAGGAGGTGGGTACAGGCTGGGCCAAGGCCCAGAAAGCCATCGGCTACCCCAGCTGCCCCACTTCTAGTCCCAGACCATCATGAGAGAGAAGCGGCTGCAGGCAAGGTCCCTGGGCCGCGCGGCTCCCCACTCCAGTGGAGGCCTCAGTGTCCTCCCAGGCCCAGGAGAGCTCGTCCTTTAAGGACCATCATCATCTCCCTGGGCTCCTTCCGTGTGGACATCCCCAAGTTCAAGGTGTTCACCTTTTCTCTTAAAGGGGCAGAAGGACAAGCTCGGGCCCGGCTCCTACAACTTCAAAGACTTCTTAGAACAGCTGCGGCAGAAACCGTCCAGCAACCGGGGGCTGCTCAGCTCCGGGGAGCTTCGCTTTCAAGGACTCATCGGGGTAGGCGTCCTCCTAGAAGGACAGGGCGCCCTTCCACCCTCTGCTCTCTTCAGAGCATGGTGCCCGGTGGTGCTGGAAGCACCCCTCTTGTCCCACTTCCTCCCCAGGCGTGGCCCGGCTCACCTTTGGGTCCCCACAGCCCTCAGTTTTCCAGGGCCACAGCCTCAAGCCCACTGGCTGGTGTGTAGCCCTGTGTCTGTCCCCCAACTAGACCGGAAGTTCCCTGCTGCCCGGGATGGGTCTGGTTCATCTCTGAGTCCCCAGCACAGAGCCCGGCATACATTAGGTGCTCAACAAACTCATTCATCTATATGTCCAGCCAATAATGATGGGGCACCCACTCAATGCCATGCACTGTTGTTGGTCCTGGGGATCCAGCAGTGATGAAGACAAGGTTCCTCGCGGCTCCCCACTCCAGTGGAGGCCTCAGTGTCCTCCCAGGCCCAGGAGAGCTCGTCCTTTAAGGACCATCATCATCTCCCTGGGCTCCTTCCGTGTGGACATCCCCAAGTTCAAGGTGTTCACCTTTTCTCTTAAAGGGGCAGAAGGACAAGCTCGGGCCCGGCTCCTACAACTTCAAAGACTTCTTAGAACAGCTGCGGCAGAAACCGTCCAGCAACCGGGGGCTGCTCAGCTCCGGGGAGCTTCGCTTTCAAGGACTCATCGGGGTAGGCGTCCTCCTAGAAGGACAGGGCGCCCTTCCACCCTCTGCTCTCTTCAGAGCATGGTGCCCGGTGGTGCTGGAAGCACCCCTCTTGTCCCACTTCCTCCCCAGGCGTGGCCCGGCTCACCTTTGGGTCCCCACAGCCCTCAGTTTTCCAGGGCCACAGCCTCAAGCCCACTGGCTGGTGTGTAGCCCTGTGTCTGTCCCCCAACTAGACCGGAAGTTCCCTGCTGCCCGGGATGGGTCTGGTTCATCTCTGAGTCCCCAGCACAGAGCCCGGCATACATTAGGTGCTCAACAAACTCATTCATCTATATGTCCAGCCAATAATGATGGGGCACCCACTCAATGCCATGCACTGTTGTTGGTCCTGGGGATCCAGCAGTGATGAAGACAAGGTTCCTGCTGCCCTGGAGCTGGCGTCCTAGAGCTAGAAACAGCAGCATAAAGAAGCCGGTCATACGCCTCAGGCTTATGAGGAAACCTGAGGCAGGGGAGGGATAGAGAGTGATAGGAGTGTAATTTATAGAGTGGTCGGGGATGGGTAATTTATAGTGGTTGGGGATGGGCTCTGGGAGGAGGTGAGCAACGGAGATTCATGGTATCTGTGAGAGAGCATTCTGGGAAGCAGGGCCAGTGCAGGTTAAGGCCCTGAGTTGGACCAGCAGGCAGGAGGCCAGTGTGGCCAGAGAGAGTGGGCAAGGACAGAGGAGGAGAGAGAGCAGAGGACTGAGGGCCGGCCAGGAGCACCTGGCAGCAATGGGGGCTTCTGGTTTGATTCCAAGGGCTGTGTGAGGACAGTGGAGGGTTTTGTTGGGAAGGGCCTGGCTAACATTTTCAGAGGTACACCCTGCTGGTGGGGGTGAAGGTTGGAGGCTGCAGTGGTCCAGATGGGAGGTGATGGCCATTGGGGGCGGGGAGGGGTAAGTAGAAGGGCCACAGTAGTATCACTATGGGCCGGGATGAACATCCCATGTGGTGGTGGTGGTGGGGGGCGCACACTGAATGGGGTTCAGGCTCAGTAAGGTCATGAGAGAGAAGGCAGGAGTCACACCATACTGAGCGAGCACTCTGTTTGCTGAGTGCCTCGCCTCCCCTGGCCCTCGTACTCTCTGTGCTGGACACTTGGCTTCTCCCAGCTCCTCACATGCACCACACTCT